TGTGTGTGTGTGTGTGTGATCACTGCAGATTCCCCTATAGTGGAGTAGGAGTTTACACAGCCTCTGTCCATTTTCCCTTTGTAATAGCAGCTATGCCGGTTAGTTTTTATTCCAACCAAACACAAACTAGAGTCACCTGGAAAGAGAACCTCAAGTGAGGAACTGCCTCCATCAGACTGGTCTGTGGGGTGTTTTCTTGATGAATGATTGATGTGGGCGAGCCCAGTGCATTGCGGGTGGTGCCACGCTGTAGCCAGTGGTTCTGGGTTATATAAGAAAGCAGGCTAAACAAGCCATGGAGGCAAAGCCAGTGAGCAGAGTTCTTTCAATGTCCCTGCCTCTGCTTCCGCTTGAGTTCCTACCCTACCCTTCCTCAGTGACGGACTATGATCAGTAGGTGCAAGTCAAATAAATCCTTTCCTCCCCAAGTTGCTTTTGGTCATGGTGTTTACCACAGCAATAGAAAGCAAACTGGGGCATCATCTTTCAGAGCAACCAGATCAGACTGCAGCAGATCCATGTAGGCAGAGAACAACGTGCACATGCACACACACATGTACGTGGATGTGTGGCTCTCTACACAGTGTCATGACACATTTTCAATTGTTTGTTTAAATACAGGGCTTGGCCAACACACAGGCCTAGTGATGTGGGGAGGTACAGTCAAAGTTTACTCCTGAGCTTATAAAAAATAAAACATTAAGCCAAATGAGAAAAACAAGACTTAAACCACCAGGGAATTATTAACTCTGTTAAAGACAAGCTGTTTACAAAGGCCGGTTCACTGAGTGTAGAATAGCAGAGAGATTTTTAACAATCTCCGATCCTCCTACTTCCAGCCCGAGGAGCACTTCTGCTCTGGTTCTGGTTTTGTTTGCCGTATCAAAGAGGAAGCCTAGAGGCCCTGAATGTGTTGGCTGAAAGCCTGGCCCTGTGTCCCCACCCTCTACTCTCAAACCCAGATGTGAAGCATTCCCGAGCAGACTCTAGTCTCTTTGGTCTCTGCCCCTTTCTCTGTGTCTGTCTGAGTATCTCTGTCCCTCTGTAATTCTCTCCTTCTCCTTATCCCAGTTGTTAGAACACCGCCCTAGAGAACCAGGGATGAAAGCGTAGTCCGGACCCAATGACCCAGGACAAGACTGGAGGCTCTCTAGCATTCTCTTGCTTCATCAGAAATCCACCCAGAAACCTGACACCAGCACTCTGACCCCATCTGCAGAAACCCTAGCCCCTTCCTGAGAAGGGAAGTCTACTGAAGAGATTATAAAAGGTGAAGTGGGAAAGAGTGAGCACTCTTCAGGGGCAAAAGAAAACAGACAGCTGTGTAGGCAGAATGGAGGGCAAGGTATACATGAGAGGTGAGGACTACGAAAAAGAGTTCCTTCCCAAAGACTACCTGACCACCTTCTACAGCTTTGCCTCTGGCACCATGGCAGAGCAGGAAATCGTAAAGTTTAGCCTGCAGAACCTCTACCAGACCTTCTCTACAGGTGAGTGGCTGAGGGCCCCCTGGGGAGGGGCTGGAGCTATGCCAACAGAAAGAGCTCCTTCTGTCCTTACAGATGCTACAGAGGTGACTAGCCCGGAGGCCCACGGGGCCCACAGATGGCAATGTGTGCGAGTCCAGAGGGGCCATGCCTCAGGAACAAAGAACTTGGCTTGCAGCCATGATCAGCCTCAGTGAACTTTGAGGGGTACACCCAGATTTGTGGAGCTCCTAGGCCCATGCTGAGAGAAGTGACGTGGGACTGGGCTCCAAGGCTGCTCCTCCCTCCCCTTCTGCCAGAGGCCTTCCGGAAAAGTCTGAAGCCTTTCTGGGACCTTGAATCTCTTTGAAAAAAAATGATGAAAATTCTTCCCCACAAACATGCATACAAGTTTCCATAATTTGTCCCCAACATCTAAGGAGAAACTAAGGCTCAGCATGGCGGGGAGGGAAAGAGGTGGCCGGCCAGTCAAGGTCAGAGAGCTAGTAGTAACACCAGCAAAAAGAAAGCATAACACTTCAAGTGGTTCAGCACTAATGGGGAAACTGTGTTCTGTGTGACCCTGGAGGTTGCTCAGTGTACCCCCGCCCCCCAAAAACCTTCTTAACCAGACATTCAGTGTCAATAAATAGAATGCAAGGAGAAACCTCAGAATACAGAAGAAAGAAAGTCCGGTGCTCCTGGAGAAAGCTGGGGCAGGGTACAGGCATCAGTCCTTGGCACAGGCATAGCAGGTATAAAAGGAGCCTGCAGAAGGGAGAGAGCAGGCAGAGAGGGCATACCCTAGCACTGCCTCACTTTCTTGTGTGTGGCTGTCTTTCCTAGAACCAGAAGGGCTCTTAAGAACTGGCTGATGTCCTTCTTAGCCTTTATCCCAGACTCTGACACTCTATCAATCCCCCCAGTTTTCTAAGTTCAATGTTCTTCCAAATAAGCCTGTGTGAACTGATTAGAGGAAAGAGTAATCCTAAATTTATCCAGAAGGTCAGACATACCTCTCCGACCTCGACCAGTATCCTGGGGGTAATGGAGAAGCAATTAAGAATGTCAGCAGTACCCTGGCCCCAGCATTGCTTCCCAGTCCTGTCAACACACAGCCCAGAGGGGAGGGGCTGCTGCCCTTCCCAGCTGTCGGGTGCATCCTAATGTGGTTTGGAGTCACTCAGCAGGATGTGAGGTCAGGGTGCCCAGACCTGCCATGCTATCTATCTCCGCAGGAGGTGTAGGGGGCGAGGTCCTGATCGACATTGGCTCTGGCCCCACGATCTACCAGCTGCTTTCAGCATGCGAGGTCTTCCGGGAGATCATTGCCACTGACTACACCCCGCAGAACCTGCAGGAGCTGCAGAAATGGCTGAAGAAGGAGCCAGGAGCCTATGACTGGTCCTCCATAGTGCAGCATGTGTGTGAGCTGGAGGGAGACAGGTACCTGCAAGTGGGACTGTGTCGTCTACCCACCTCGTCCTTCTCAGATAAGGCCCCTCTGATGCTCAGGACGGCACAGGAACCCACCACCCACCTCACTTTCCTCCTGGGGTGGGAACAGGCAGACACAAAGAATGACGATTTGTCTATAGTCTGATCAAGTCGCCGATTTTACTTTTCTCACACAGGGGTTGTATACACAAAAAAGCAGGATGTGGGGAAGGGGATGACACAGGAGTATAGGTGTTCAGGGGGAGTACAGATATCTTCCAGAACAGGGTATTAGCTAGATGAAGGTCCAGGGGACAGGTCACTATGACTCTGTCTATGATTCACTTGTCCTTATCTAAGTTGGTACTATCCACCAAGGTTACCTATCTACAAGGTCTATGACTATTCATATTGTCTATGGCAATTTTCCACCAAAGCTGCTTGTTTACAATAGCTTCTAGCCATCTGTTTCAGTGTTTTTCCACAGAGACCCAAGACTCTGTGTTAGCAGGCATGTATGTCAGGCCTATTGCTGATTTTAGGCCTTCAGTGTATAAGCAGGGCTGCCCCCGACAAACCTGTGGGAATTGGTTCTCTCTTTTCAACATGTGGGTCCTAGAGATTAAACTCTGCTTATGAGGCTTGCTTGGCAACAAGCTCCTTACCCAATGAGTCACTTCACTAGCTCAGGACTTGCTTCTTGAACTATTCAGTACACCAAGCTGAGGAACGTATTAAACCCAGTCAGGCCAGCAGGTGGCAGAGCTACCCTAGCCCTGACAATAACTAGAGAAGTCCCACAGAGGAGCTTGGAGGATGGTGGAGTCTGTAACAACTCTGTGGGTCTCCTCAGCCACTGTGTCAATAAAAGAAGAAAAAGGAGACAGCTCCAGAGGAATGACCCCTGAGGTTGTAGTATTCTGGCCTCTGCACACACGTGCAAACATTTGCATGCACAAGTGCACCCACACATGTGCACCCACACACATACATACGAACAAAAATAATAATGATGAAATACGCCAAAAAGATGAAATGATTTTAAGAAGGAAGGAAGGTGTGAAGGAGGAAGACAAAACCAAATGTCGAATCCACCATCACTGGTGGCTGTGAGCAGCTTTGTGCCTCGGTTTTCAGCTGCATGGCATGTTGCCAATTAGATTAAATCTCGGGATGGATGTGGGGCCGGAGAAAATCATAAGAACAACAAAAGCTGTTTTTCATAATTACAAACTTGATCATTTCTTATATGGGCTCATCACGGGTATGTCGTCCGTTGTAACCATCATGGCATCTCTCTGACCCTCTCACAGAAGCAGGTGGCAGGAGAAGGAGGCCAAGCTCCGAAGGACAGTCACTCGTGTACTGAGGTGTGATGTGACCAAGACACCCCCACTGGGGTCAGCTCAAGTGCCTCTGGCTGACTGTGTGCTGACCTTTCTGGCCATGGAGTGTGCCTGTCCTGATGTGGATACCTACCGGGCAGCCTTGCGCAGACTGGCTGGCCTGCTGAAGCCAGGAGGGCACCTGGTGACCTTGGTTACCCTGCGCTTCCAGCATTACATGGTGGGCCCCAAGAAGTTCTCTGGGGTCTACCTGGAGAAGGAGACAGTGGAGAAGGCTATCCAAGATGCTGGTTGCCAGGTACTGAGGTGCAACTGCGTCTCCCTCAGCTACTCAGAGGCCTACTGTGTCAACGATGGTTTATGCTTCGTGGTTGCCCGAAAGGGTCCCAGTGCCTGAGGCCACAGGTAGAGATTAGCCTTCCCCCGGGGAAGTTACAGCAATCATTTGTATAGCCTTACTTCACAGCTTTCTAACACTGACCGCGTTGCTTCTGTCTCTTACCCGGTCACAAGGAAAAACCCAGGCTTTTCTCTTTTCAGTCCCCAAACCCTCCCTTTTGCTTCTTTTGTACCCTGATCAAAGCTCATTAAAATAAAGTGTCTTCTCTGGATTCTGTCTTGGGATGTCGTCTCCCAACAACAGACTCTGTTTGGCTGACAAACATTTAAAGAGCAGATGCGGTGAGCACGAATGCAGGAGTAGGGGAGAGAGCAGGAGTAAAGGTGCTCTGTGTAGCACAGAGCCCTCCCCACTGAGGCAGCTGAAGCTGGGACCAATGTTGGGGCCTTCGGGTGGTGTTACCTACTGAGGGAGCTAGCCATGCCTACCAGCTTCCCTCACAGTGGCCAGAGGCAGCTCTTCAGGGTCTCTTGTCTCAGCCTGCTTCGGCAGACTTTAGTCTGGTCACCATGCCCTTGTTCAGAAAAGAGATCCCAACGTGTGCCATCAATGTACTAGCTGGAGTAGACAGAGTCTGAGACCCAGAAACATTATATTTTCTGGCTTGTGTTGTCAAAGGTTATTTAAAGCCAGCAACGCCCGGTTACCAGGACATGTGAATGTCACTTTCTCACCTGTACACGCTGCCGCGGGGAGGTGACTTTCCCTAAACTACTATTGAGTAAAGATTGTGGCTTTTTGCATAATAAAGAGTTGGAGCTGGGGCAGAAGGAAAGGGCAGGCCAAGACTTGGGAGAGGCAAAGAGAAGCAGAACACCACAGAAAGGAGACTGGATGGAGCTGGAAGCAGGCAATAAGAACCACAGGGAAGGCTGGAGGGATGGTTCAGTGGTTAAGAGCACTGACTGCTCTTCCAGAGGTCCTGAGTTCAATTCCCAGCAACCACATGATGGCCACAACCATCTGTAGTGGGGTCCGATGCCCTCTTTTGGCGTGTCTGAAGACACTGTACTCACATATATAAAATAAATAAATCTAAATAACAAAAATAAAAGGGAAGAAGAACCACGTGGAGAGACAGAAATGCAGAGAATTCGAGTTACTTTAGATGGCAGACACTAGCTGAGAGACTGCCCCTGCAAAAAGCCAACAGCTTTAAACTGTGTGGATTTCTTCCTGTCTTAATTAAACCTCAAGCAAAGCCCCACAATAGAACACTCGTACCCTGCTGTCCACAGCACATGCAGCTTGTCCCTTAAGCTCTAGCTGGCTCCACGACACAGTTACTGTTGGCCTTGGTGGTCATCCCATAGTACTAGTGAGAAGGCTATGCTGACTCCATGACAGGCTTCAAACGGGCAGCTAGAGCCTAGGCTTAAATCTCTGTTTCTAAGAACTGGGCAATTCCAGGAAAGTCCAGGCCTCAGAAGCTGCACCGTGACTTGTCTTGAGGCAAGGACAATGGATCAAGGGCAGCTTCCAGACTTCCTCAGCTACTTCCTCAGCAAGTTTCCAGCCCCCGGACCTGGTAATGGAATGTCCATAGAGGTCACCTGGAATCCCCTAATGTGCTTTAAATCAGGCCTGGAAGCTCACTTGGTTGTTCCTCTATTCTGGAAATGGGGAACCCCAGCATGCTGCACTTCTGCAGAATAAAACACTTTTTGGGTTTTCATACTATTTGAGTTCTGGGTGTCATTCTTCAGTGAATCATGAACCATTACACTACCATACTGGGTTCTCCACAGCAGACGGGTTGTACCTTCAGTAATAGCCTCTCTTGGGCTCTCTTTGGAGAGTCTGGCCCTGCCACATGGTGCCAAGCCCCAAGTTCTCTCTGTTAAACCTTCAGTTCTATGGCTTCTATATCAACAGTCTGCACACTCACCAGTGACCTTGACTGGCCTTTCATGGTGTGCAGTCTCAGCTTGGCTCCATGACCCCTTGATACTTTTAAAACCAGTACCACCTGAGAGGCTCCTACATGTTACCAAGTTCAGCTACTGGTATGAGACACAGCCTCACCTTTCTCTGGACCACAGCTTCTTTGTGCTGTCCCTAGGGAAATATTCCCACAAGATTTTTATCTCAGTGACACTGGTCTCGTCTTACCTGCCTGTTAACTTCTTAACTGGCCAGCATCAAGTGTGCCACCAGCAAAGCAAACATTTGCTCTAGTGATTCTGGTTTGCTGTTAACTGTTATGAAGTACAAAGGGTGGAGGGGGTACCTGGCAGGCCCATGCCAAGGTGTGTCCCTGAGTAAGTAGTGCTCAGAACCGTTGGGTCATCCAAACTCAATGGGACAACTCCATGCAACAAATCTGGTATAAAGGGTGTTTGGGGGGAAGGGAGAGGGGTGAGGACCTGGGGAAGGAGTAGAGGCAGCAAGAGAGCCAGGAGGGCAGAGAGAGATGGGATAAAGAGGGAGAGGAAGGGGCTCCAAGGACAGAAAGGGGAAGAGATAACTCTGCCTAGAACAGGGGGTGGGGCTTGGGTAGCGGGCAGTCCTTTTTAGTGGCATACCTGACAGTAGTGGCAGCAGGTGATAGCAGCAAGTGTAAGCCATTGCTAGGTCCCTGAGAGGAGCCTGGTGGAATCGCCTGTAAGCTAACAATAACCACAGCTAACTCTTCAGCCCTAGCTGACTAGAGCCACGGGTCTGAATACAAAGTATCACTCAATGGCTCCGATAGATCTTTGCTTCGCCCTGAAAGTCACAAGCCAGGCCTCCGCCATCTGTACTGCTCTTTACATTTGTAACCTCTCCGAGCCTAGAGAACGGCCCACCGAGTTCCGAGCACTCAATAGCTTGTCCAGACCAAATGAGAGCACAATTCTCCCTAAAACACATGGTCAGGTTTGTAACAATGCCCCCATCCTAGTACCAATTTCTGTCTTAGCTAATAGGGCAGAAGCCTGGAGACAGAAAATGAAGCAGAAACCATGGAGGAACCTTATTGGCTTGCTCTGCCTGCTTTCTTACATCTTTCTGTTCCACTGTCCCAGGAGTGGTACCACCCACAGTGGGCAGGGCCCTTCTACATAAATAATCAGTCAAAAAAGCCTTACAGGCTTACCCATGGGCCAGTCTGGTGGGGGCATTTTCTCAGTTGAGGTTCCCTCTTCTCAAATGACTCTTGCTTGTGTCAGGTTGATAAAACACACACACACACACACACACACACACAGAGAGAGAGAGAGAGAGAGAGAGAGAGAGAGAGAGAGAGAGAGAGAGAGAGAGAGGCTAACTAGGATAGCCACCACCTGAATTACCTCACTACACAGAGCTCCTCTTCCCCTCTCTAACTCATGTTCCACTTCTGAGGACTGAACAGAAACGGCAAGTGATGAGGACCAGACCGACAGCCACAGCCCGGGAAAGGACAACCTCCACTGTTGCTAAAACCAAGCGTTTCCTAAATGTGTCCATTGTATGTGAGAGGTGATCCTGAGACTTAGGTTAGAGAGAAATAACAAGGGAGTCCTCCCACCATCAAGGGAGTCCTCCCACCATCAAGAGAGTCCTCCTTCCCGTGTCAAGGGGAAACGAAGTTTGGTCCCTGGTCCTTGCTTCAGAGCTACAACAGTGTGAGACTGCAATGATTCCATATGGCCATGAGAGGGCAGTGTAGGGCAGGGCATGAGCAGAACTCGGGCATTCTGAGGAGAGAGACTTGTTTGCTCAACTTTTGGACATCCTGAAGTGTATTTTCTTGGCCTTTCAGGTAAAAAGAAACAAACAACAAAAAAGAAAAACAACCTTCAACAGGCAAGATCTCTCTGAAATCAGGACCTACTCCCTGTCTGTGTGTTCCCAGACTCTGTGCTTCAGTTGGGCCTAGGGACTGTTGTGTTCTAAAGAGATCCCCCCTATTGCCATGAGGTATGCATCCAGAAGATGAGTCACTTCTTCTCTAAATGAAGATAAGCTCCTGAAGGCCGGTACTCAGTAGTTACTGAGTCCTGTTGGCTGGTGGAGATCAAGTGCCACCAGTTTAGTGAGGTGTTGAAGGCTGGGAAAGGGGCAGGCATCCCTGTTAGGGGTCTGTCAGGGTACTGCTGTGTACTGACCCGCTAGCTTACAGGGACATCAGCTGAGACTGGGCACAGTGCAGAAGGATTTGGGAATCAGGGTTGGATGAAGTAAAGACTGGCCCTCTGGGTGGGACTTTCATGCCTCTTAGAGGGTGGACAGGCAAGAGCCAGAACTCAAGGAAGGTAAGGCACCTTTCTGCAGGGCACCCTAATGGGAAGAAGAGGTACTTTGAGGCAGCAGAGGTCCAAAGTATGGGTAGCAGATGAGAGTGCAGTGGCCAGGACTGGAGGGGACCTCCTAGGGTGAACATTCCCCGGGAAAACCTTGTGATGATTCACACTGTCATAATCAGCCCACTGAGACTGCCTCGGTCGGCCTAAGTGCTGCAAACAGAGCAAGCCCCTCCTGTAATTAAGTGAGAGCTGTATCTTACCCACTGTTGTAAGACTGGAAACTGACTTCCCTGTGTGTTGGAAAGATTGTACCTTTTGGTTTGTAATAACTTTGGGATCAGAGAGGGATGTAAGCCGCTGACTCTGCTGTGTTTGGCCTCATCCCCAAGAACTACTGTGTCTTTTCTGATTTCAGAAGGCATGGCTTTTCTTTAAAACCACAGATCATTCAAGCAGCAAGGCAGAGAAAGCACTTTCTAGAGGATGTTAGAGAGTCTGGCTCCCAGGCAGCCAATGAACCTGCACAGAGATCCTCGGAAGGACCAGCAGGTGTGTAGGGGAATCCAAATGTCTTCAGGAGGAAGGGATTATGAACAGTGCCCACTATACTCAGTTGTACCAGGACCATGCAGAAGAAGCAGAGTCCCACACAGGTACAGTGAAAAACTGGTCAGCAGCCCAGGAAGCCTGGAGTCTGGAATCTCACTCCAGCAACTGAGACATCTGAGATGGATTTACACACCAGCCTTGGATGTATGGTAAGTGTCCTTTTCCCATTCCAGGCTCTTGGCTCGAGAAGCTCTTCTGAAGGCTGTATCTTCACTCTTGGTTTAAGGTCCTGCGTGGGAAAGGACACCTGAAGTCATCTGGGGCATAAACCATAACCTGACAATGATGCAAATGTTGAGTAGCCCAGGGATAAGCACAGTAGTGAGTTAGACCTGAGTACTTGTTGGCCTCAGTTCCCCAAGATCAACTGTGGAAAGAACATATGCAGGTA